GGGCAAGCTTATGGTGTGTCTGTGTGGCATGTGAATGCTCTTTGCTGAGAGTGAGTGAATTCTTTCTATATATGGTTCCTTGTTGTTGAATTTTATGTGTGTGTGGAACTTCTCTCAAATTTTGTTTATGTGAGGGCATGTGACTCAGGAAGAAAAAGTGAGTCTTCACTTCTGTAGAGTAATTAGAGTGAGCACAAGTGTGTCTTGGCATGAGAGTCTGCATTTGAGATATGATTGTGCACCGCTTGGGTCGATCATTGATAATAGCAGGTGTGACATAAATTGGGGCAATGCATTGAGCAGTTAGGCCTAGAAGTGTGGTTTAGTTTGCTCGAAGACGAGCAAAGGTTTAAGTGTGGGGTGTTGATAATAGGTGAATTTGACTATAATCACACCTTAAATAATCACCTTCTTGTGTAGTTTTAATGCTAAAAGTGATAACAAAATGCTCTTATTAGTGCTTTTCATGATTTGCAGCTGATATATGTATAAGGAAGGCTAAGGAGCGGTTTTGGAGTTAAAAGTGATGAAAAAGAGGCCAACTGTGAAATTTCCCAAGTGACCCATGCAAAACAGGCCGAAGATTCAGAATACTGGATCCACCGCGGTTCCACCGCGACCGCGGCAGAACCGCGGTGGGAAGCAGCTGCAGAAGATTGAGAATTCGCGAGGGTGTTTGGCCGCGGTTCTACCGCGACCGCGGCAGAACCGCGGCAGGCGCAGAAAGTTCAGGGGTCCAAAGTGTCAAATACGGGATTTTTAGACCTAAAACCTATTTAAAACACTAGACTTCGCCCAAGAGAGGCATGTATTGATTTTTAAGGTTTGTTAGCAAGGAAAACTATTGTGAGAGAATACTCTAAACATCTTTCTTCTTTTCTTTTGATTTTTATGATGAATTCAATCTTAGTTTATTTTCCCATAGCCATGAGTAGCTAAATTCCTTGTCTAAGGCGTTGATGGAACCTATTGGGTGATGAACTTCTTGTTTATGTGAATACAAATTGCTAGTTTAATCTCTATTTGTTCAACTTCGTGTTTGTTGTAGTTAATTGACAGGATCCTCAATTAGCTGTGCCTATTTAGTGTGCATAACTTGGAAAAGAGTGCATATTTAGGGTATTGTTGAACAACACCACTCCTAGATTATTAGAGGAATCTATAATTGTGGGTTTAAAGTTGGGATTAGGGATAACGAAGCCTTGGGTGTAATCTAAAGTGAATCGTGCTAAATAAAATAAGCTAGTGTATCTCGGGAGAGTGCAATAGTAAAATTACTGTGATTACTCGGGAGAGATTTACGGTAAGATTAGAGTTCATGATTGATAGAGATGTGTTGGTAAATTTGTATGAGCATAAACAGAAGGGATTCCATCAATAGGGGAATTCATTGCCTTAGCTTTGTCCCATAATTGTTTACAACCTTATTAATTTAGTTACAGCCATTTAGTTAATTGCAAGCTAGTTGTTAAAGAACACTCAACTGAGAATTTGAATATTTGGGAAGCTGGTTCTGAAGAATTAGTGGGTCTGAAGATAGTGGTTGATATGTTAACTCTCTGTGGATTCGACCCTGGGCGTAATACTCGGGTTATATTTGCAACGTCCGCAGAGTCCCTTTTATAAGGCATAGTTGGGCGTGATCACATGCACGGACTACAATTAGCATAGAAGACTCAAATCCTAAAAGGGAGTCCCCCACACAAGGTTAGGCAAGATACTTACCTCAATCCGGCCAATTCAATACTCAATTTAGCTTTTCCTTTACCAATTCATCAACGCTCGGCTCAATCTAGCAAAAAACGACTTGAATACATCAAACAATGCAAGAGAAAACAATTTCAATTAACAAAGTTATGATTCTTATACAATTTGCAGAAAGTCAACAAAAGTTAACTCCCCGGGCCCGCACCTCGGAACCCGATAAAATTTACAAAAACCGAATACCCATTCCGATACGAATTCACCCATAGAAAAATTATCAAATTCCGATACCATTTGGTCCTTCAAATCATCATTTTACATTTTTGAAAGATTTTACAATTTCCCCCAAAATTTCCCTTTTGATTCTCATGAATTTGACGTTAGATCTAAGATATAATCACAAAATATAGTTGGGAATTGATTAAAGATACTTACCCAATGACTTGGTATGAAAATCTCTTCACAAAATCGCCTCACCTCGACTCTAGGGTTCACAATATAAAAAATAAAGCAAAAACTCGAAATACCCAGCTTTTAGCAGGCTGCAGATGTCACATTTGCGACACTGGGTTCGCAAATGCGAACTCGCAAAAGCGAAGGATCCTTCGCAAATGCGAAGCTGAGCTGCCCCGATGTTATCGCAATTGCGATAAAATACTTCGTAAATGCAAAGAAGGGGCCTTCGCAAAAAGGGCCCAAATGTTCGCAATTACGAACTTTCCTTGCCTAGATGGTTTTCGCATCCCATTACTCGCAAATGCGAGATCAGACAACAGAAAATCAGAAATTTCTTCCAAACACTCCGAAACGTTTTCGAAACTCATCCGAGCCGTCGGGACTCCAAACCATATGCCCACACAAGTTTGAACACATAGCACAAACTCGCTCGCGCGACCGGAACATCAAATAACCTCTAGAACCACGAATCGGATGCCAAAACGCATGAAAATCACTATAAACTTCAAGAACTTCTAGAATTGCAACCAAACGTCCGAACCCTATCAAATCAACTAAACGACACCAAGTTTTGCAGGCAAGTCCCAAATGACATAACAGGGTTGTTCCAACTTTCGGAATCACATTCCGACCTCGATAACACAAAAGTCAACTATGGGTCAAACCTCTCCATTTTTAAATCTTCAACTTTTCCAACTTTCGTCGAAATGCCTCAAATTACCCTACGGGCCTCCAAATCCAAATCCGAACGCACGCCTAAGTCCAAAATCACCATGCGAAGCTACTGACATCATCTAAAACTCATTCCGGAGCCGTTTGCTCAAAAGTCAAATTCCGGTCAAATTCTCACCGCTTAAGCTTCCAAAACTAGATTCTGTATGGGTCAAAATTAGACCAGAGAAATTCGGCACGCGAAGATATAATGCCAAGGTCGGACAGGCTGAGGTCGGACAGGCCAAGGTCGGACCGTCATCAATAAAATCGAGGTCGGACCGTCATCAATAAAGTCGAGGTCGAACAGGCCAAGGTCGGACAGGCTGAGGTCGGATAGACTGAGGTCGGACAGGCCAAGGTCGGACCGTCATCAATAAAACCGAGGTCGGACCGTCATCAATAAAGCCGAGGTCGGACAGACCGAGGTCGGACAGGCCAAGGTCGGACCGTCATCAATAAAGCCGAGGTCGGACGGGCCGAGGTCGTGATAAAACAACTAGTCTGCTTTGGAATCCTAAAAAGGAATATTCTACTGAATATTTCCTCTAATTGTACCTTTTATTTTAATGTTTTTCTAGGAATACCCCTTATAAATAGGAAGGGAGGACTTCCCAAAAAAGGGGGCTCGGGCTCTCTCCCTCTCCCTCTTTCTAGAAAAATATGTAAACACACCTCTCCAAAGAGATGAGAGGATCTGTGATCCCATACCTTCATCAGATCCAAAAAGGGTCCAATGGTTCTTGTATTTTGTCTATCATTCATCTTTATCAAATGAAAGAAGATCCGGCTCACTAAAAATCGGGTGAATCTTTTCCTTTATTTACATTTTATTGCCACTTAATGTTACTTAATGCATTTATCTTTATGCTATTAAATCTGGCTATAATCACGCCCAATATTTATACTCGGCTATGTTTTTCTACTCATATTATTCGTCTCGGATCTAGAGTTAATTATCTTTAACTAGGATTTACCCCTTCATCTTTGATTGATTTGTTCAAAAGGTTTCGATAACTTTTGAGTCAAACAGATTCCTTCTTCCAATTCGACTCCGATTCATCCGAAAAAAGAATCCAACCATGCACGCAAGTCAATACACATAATATGAAGCAGCTCGTGACCTAAAACTGCCGGACCGGACGCAATTGCTCTAAACGACGTATCGGGTTGTTACAGTATTTGAAAATTAAGGCGTAATATCATTATTGGATTAAACGTGAGGTAACTTATCCAAAGACCAAAATAACCTAGATTTTTTTAATATTATAAGAATAAATTGTAAATTAATTATTATATCTCATTTTTAATGGGACAAACCCCGGATAAAAAACACATGAACGACATTCTTATTTGTTTCCTTTCACATTTGTTGTTCTTCGATGTATAACAAGTAAAAATAATCTATTGCCAACAAAACCTTTAAAAAGGAGAAAAAAGAAAAGAGAACCCCAGTTCAAGAAATTGAAAGAACAGTTAGTCCAAGTTGCAGGACGCTGCTTTTTTCATAAAGAAAATCAAAGTAAATCTCTAAAGCTTTTTATCCACTCAAGAAATTCTATAGCAAAGCTGATTGCCCCAAAAATGAAAAGGAAAGCCCCTATATTAATCAAAGAAAAACAAATTCCCTTTCGTGTAGTAGTTTTAGTATTACTCTTATTTTATTTTATTCTTGAATTTCTATTATTATTTTGATGTTGCTTTTGCTCCGGTTTGTTAGTAATTTACTGCTGTAACTGCTTTTTTTCTATGTATTTTATATTTTTTATTGATGTGATTATGCTTGCATGAGCCGATGGTCTGTCGAAAATAACCTCTCTATCTGTCCAAGGTAGGGATAAAATTTGCGTACATATTATTTTCAAACTCTACTTGTGGGATTATATAAGATATGTTGTTATTATTTTTGTATTAATAAAAGGAAAGTAAATTCTGAAAATTAAAAAAAGAAAAGAAAAGAAAAAGCGTTGGACTCCTCACTCATTAGTAGCAGCAGAAAACAGTCCACTTTCTTTATGTACTTATTACACCCATCAACTCTCGTTGCTGTTGACCATTATCTGAATAACAGCTAGGGTTTGTTTCTTCTTTATTTTATTTTCAATATTTCCCATTTTACACCCTGTATTTCTAATATTTCTACCTTCGCCCACCTTAAAAATAAATAATAAATAAAAAAACCAGTGTAACACTGTCACTTCATCCCCTTTCTAATATATCAGCCAACAACAAAAAATAACGCTTAGACTACTGCACACCATTTCTCTGTTGAACAAACTTTGTCTCATTTCTCCTCCTTTTTCAAAACCCTTCATTTTCTGGCATGAAAAATGTATAATTTTTCAAACACAATGTTGGGTTTTTCTCGCGTGTTTAAGCACCCGAGTTTGTCAACAATGCTGCTGTTTTTTGTTCTGTTTCATACTCTTTGCTCCATTACTACTTCTTCAGATCTGAACTCCGACCGTAACGCCTTACTCGCGTTACGCGCCGCCGTGGGTGGCCGTACTTTATTGTGGAACACTTCTAACCCTACTCCCTGCAACTGGGCTGGTGTTCAATGTGAGAACGACAGGGTAACCGTTCTTCGGTTACCGGCGTCGTCACTTTTCGGTAAGCTTCCGACGAACACCATTTCTAACCTCACGCGCCTCCGTACAATCAGTCTCCGTTTTAACAAACTCTCGGGCCCCCTCCCTTCTGATATTTCTCAACTTGTTGAGCTCCGTAATCTTTACCTTCAAGATAACTCATTTACTGGTTCTGTTCCTGATTCCCTTTTTAATCTCCACTTACTGGTTAGGTTAAATCTTGCAAAAAACAATTTCTCTGGTGAAATACCACCTGGGTTTAATAATTTAACCCGTTTGAGGACACTTTTGCTTGAAAATAACCAGTTTTCTGGCTCTGTTCCTGAGTTAAACCTTCCAAAACTCGAGCAGTTTAATGTATCTGCTAATAGCTTAAATGGTTCTATTCCAAAAAGTCTTGAAAAAATGCCTGCTGATGCATTTGCTGGAAATTCACTATGCGGGAAGCCACTGGATATTTGCCCTAGAGATGGTGGGACCCAGCCAGCTATAGCTACTGGTGGGATTGAAATTGGGAACGGGAATGGGAATAAGAAGAAGAAGTTATCTGGTGGTGCAATTGCTGGAATTGTTGTTGGATCTGTGGTGGGGTTCCTATTGTTGTTGTTGATTTTGTTTGTGTTGTGTAGAAAGAGGACTGGTAACAATGCTAGGTCTGTTGATGTGGGTACATATAAGCCTCAAGAAACTGAAGTTTCTGGGGAGAAGTCTAATGTGGATGCTGAAAATGGCGGTGTAAATAACAATGGGTATTCAGTAGCAGCAGCTGCTGCTGCTGCAATGACGGCTACCGGAAAAGGAGGAGAGAGTGGTGGTGGAAATGTGGTTAAAAAGCTAATCTTTTTCGGGAACAGTGCGAGAGTGTTTGATTTGGAGGATTTGTTGAGAGCTTCTGCTGAGGTTTTAGGGAAGGGGACGTTTGGAACAGCTTATAAGGCGGTTTTGGAGATGGGAACAGTTGTAGCTGTTAAAAGATTGAAGGATGTGACTATATCTGAGATGGAGTTTAGGGAGAAAATCGATACGGTTGGAGCAATGAATCATGAGAATTTGGTGCCACTTAGAGCTTATTATTACAGCAGGGAGGAGAAACTTCTTGTCTATGATTATATGCCAATGGGAAGCTTGTCTGCACTTCTTCATGGTGAGTCAAAAGCTACACTCTTTCCTTGTAAAAAGTTGAAAACCTTTTATTGTTGTAGGCACAAATATTAGTACAGTTCTTCCAATTTCTTTATCTCTTTATGGAACTATGCCATTACCTGAGTGCATTCTCTATTGCTTTTCTTGCTTTAGTACTTGTCATAAAAATTTTGCTTGCTTTAGTCAGTGGATTGGTTAGTTTGATTTGTTGCTTGCTCTGCTACATGCAATGTCTAGTGTATATTTATAGCTTGCTCTATGTGACTCTATGAGGCTGATGCCTTTTATTACATTTCACCCAAGGGCTATTTCAATGTTTTCTATTTCAATATTTTTGGGAAAAAATGTATTCCTTTTTTAGCAGGAAAATGTTGCGTAAGCAGAACTCTATTTTTTTCCTTTCATTCTTGGTTGTCATATCAAGAACCTTTACCAACAATATCCTTTATCTTGCACTAATCAAATCTATAATTTCTTTTTGCCCCACCTTCTAGATAATTTTTGCGAGGGACTAAATGTTTCTAAATCTAAGGAATCTATTTAACTTGATTATCTCCTCTTATTTCTCAATAAATTTGCTAGTGCATTTGTAAGTGTTGCTATGGTATCGTATGATACTCGGAAGACTTTTTAAAGCGAGCAAAGAGCTCGTAAGATGTTTGGTACAATTTTGTTCGTTCTTCTCACTGCCAAGTTCTATTATATGCCAGGAAACAAGGGAGCTGGTAGGACACCTTTGAATTGGGAAGTCAGGTCAGCGATTGCCCTTGGTACTGCTCGGGGCATTGAATACCTACACTCTCAAGGTTCAAGTGTCTCCCATGGGAATATTAAATCATCCAATGTTCTTCTCACCAAATCATATGATGCACGAGTCTCAGATTTTGGCCTAGCTCAGCTGGTTGGACCTCCAACTTCTCCCACTCGAGTTGCTGGATATCGTGCTCCCGAGGTAACTGACCCACGCAGAGTTTCCCAAAAGGCAGATGTATACAGCTTTGGGGTATTGCTATTGGAGCTTCTTACCGGGAAGGCACCGACTCATGCCATCCTGAACGAGGAAGGTGTTGACTTGCCAAGATGGGTGCAGTCCATCGTCCGAGAGCAATGGACTTCAGAAGTTTTTGATCTCGAACTCCTCAGGTACCAGAGTGTTGAGGAAGAGATGGTGCAACTCTTGCAGCTCGCAATAGATTGTGCGGCTCAATATCCCGACCACAGACCATCGATGTCCGAGGTATGTGAGCGGATTGAAGAGCTTCGTCGCTCAAGCTTGAGTGTTACTCAAGAACAACCTGATCTTGTCAATGAATCTGAATGAGGTGGTCCTTAGTCCTTTATTACATGTGCAGTACTTGAACTAAAGAAGCACCAATTTACAGAACCCCATTTGAGCATATTAAACTTTTCTTGTTGTCTGTTGGTTAGGGAGGCGTCTTCTTTCATTTAAAGTTAACAATTTTATGCCCCTTTTTCCCAGATCTCCATTGTAGTAGAGCCCTTCTTATTTTCCTTTGTTTGGGTCTATTCTCTGTACCATTTATTCTTGTTGGGTGGATAATGGTTGGTGTAATTATTAATTTCAGCCTTTACTTTTACTTTTGCTTTATAACCAACTTTAGTGAGAACTAAATACCTAGATTTGTTGTATTTTCATTAGGAGGTTTGTTGGTTTGTAGTAGGAAATTAGTAAAGTAGCCATGCTTTATTGGTGTTTTCATTTTGTCCTTGAGCGGGTCTTCAGAAATAACCTCTCTAACTCCACGAGGTAGAGGTAAGGTCTGCGTATTCACTATCCTAACCTCTCTAACTTCGTGAGGTAGAGGTAAGGTTTGCGTATTTACTATCCTTCCCAGATTTCGCTTGTAAGAATATACTGGTATGTTATTGTTGTTGACATGCTTTATCGGTGGACGAGGACAAAGTTTCTTTGGTTTCACGGATAGTGAACCCTCCTCTTCGTATTTGGTGATCTCTATCACTTTACCTAGGTCGTAATTAAAGAAAATTAGTTGGCTTTCTTGGAAGTTGGATACCTTTATGTGGTACTTGCTTGTTGGAAGTTGGATAATATATGCATTGGGGTTTAGGTACCTTTTCTTTTATTACATTTGCCTCGTTGCCACAACCAGCTATTGACTAGGAAAGGCATGTGTATTGTCTTTGATTTATGGATATACTATAATTCCACACATTGAACTCGTAACTTTTGACGCCGTGCATAATTTGTGGGTAAAAATTTACTAAAATTCCAATAATGACTGAATATGAACTCATAACTTTAAAAATATAACGGGTTCAATATTAATAATCTTGAAAGCTGAACTCATAAAATTTAAATTTTAAATCCGTATGTAGAGAGATATCACGTCGAGTGAAGTTGTCTCCCAAGTGGAAGCTAATGAAACTTTGAGGGTCTTAATTTCTTATTCTTATCAGAAAAGGTGCAATGTAGTTGAATGACCGTAGGACCATTTATTATAAGACACATGAAAAGGGTTGTTGACTAGTGACAGATCGAGTTCTGCATAACTCAATACTTTGAGGTCGAACTTTATATATATATATATATATATATATATATGCGTGCAAAAACGAAAGTATAAATAGGATCGATATAGAACTCAAAATCCATTATTTTATTTTAAACACAACGTTAAAAAAATTCAAAATCAGTCACTATTTTTAACAGTTGACAAAGTGTCACAACTACATGAAAAAAACCCTAAGGAGTCGTTTGGTTTGAAATCGACATATATTGGGATTAGTTGTCCTGGTTTTATTTCTTATTGATTGTTTGGTATGTTGTATTAATTCTGAGATTGTTAATTTTAATGCTTTATCTTGGAATTTATCCTGAGATTGTTATTTCATCCTCTAACAAGTATAAGTTATTACGATATATTTTTAATCCAGGGATAACTTATCCCAAAATTAGTAACCAAACAAGGGATAAAGCGGTATTAAATTGTTATCCCAAAATTATTTTTGTTTATCATCGTACCAAATGACCGCTAACAGTATGTTGCTCTTGTGGTCCCCATTTTTTGAATAAAAATTGTAGGTCATGTTGGGAGAGTGAGCAGACACTGAATTTTAGTGGTCCATTCATAATTGTGCCAAATATATTGTTAGAAAGCATCCAAAGTATTGAAAGGATTTTCCATACCTCTCAAAGGTCAGTGACAAGCTGATATTGCCAAAATAACCAAATAAATAGATAAGAAACAAAATTGTAAAAGTAACATATTTCAATCTTTAAACCCTTTTATGGGAGATGTTTCCTTTGTCTATTGGCCTTGTTCTGTCCTTACTGGAATTCTGATTTGAATTTGTTACTCTTGAGTCCATACCAATTGAATGCCTGCGCATGTGCTATCACAAACTAGTTTTCTTCCCTGGAATGGACCATCCCATCACTTCTGAACATGTCTTGCCCCAATCACCATAGCCGTCGATGAAGTGGATGAAAATCACGGGAGATTAATTTTCAACTGCAAAAAAAAAAAAGAAAAATACTAGGAGATTTTTTCCCTGTATGTTTAAAACTTGATTGATGGAGTCACTCGATATCAATACTAATAGGAGATAACAAGTACCTAGTGAAATAATCGAAGTGCTGTGAAAGTTATCGCGATATTGCCATTACAAAAAAAAAATCATCATGTTCTTACAAAATTATGGGAATATATTTATTTGTTTCCATTAAGCAAATTCTAAAATGAAAGAAATATGGGGTGTTTGGCCAAAATAGAAAAGTACTTTTGAGCAGTAGCAGAAGCAGTTTTTCTGCTTTTGGAAAAGTTACAAATTCTAGCTTCTTCCGAGAAGCAGAAGCAGAAAATTAATGTTTTCAAGATAAAAATATCCTTACCATAAAATTATATTTCCTAGATTATCCCTTATTAATTTAACCTTTACTTTGTTTTATTTATTATTTATCTCTACCATCTTTCTTCTTGTGTCTATTTTTACCGTATTTTTATTTTTCTTCTCTTATTCCTATTTGGGATTATCTCTCTAATATAAATAGATCTCTTCTTTTCTCTTTTGTTGTTTCTTCTTTTTTTCGTCTCCTGTTACTATTTGAAATAACAAGGCGAATCACCAGATTCAAGTACTTTCTTCATAAGGTATAATTTTTTATTTTATTTTATAGTATACCAGTATTATATGATCTTCAGTTGTAGTTTATTTGTACTTTTTTTGCGCAAATGCATATAATATAATTGACATAATGCAATATTGACTAATTTGTTATTTTCTCAAGATTTAAGTGTTTTTCATACATGTAACTTGTAAGCATATATGTTCCTACCAATATTATTGCTTTTATATACTTATATTTTATATTGGTTAAAATATGTAATTTATATTCTAATTACATAAAAAGAAAAAAATTAGTAAAATTATTTTATAATAAAAATTTAAAATTTCTCTTTTTAAATGATGCTAATTTTAAACAAACTCTTACTGTCCTTTATAGTAATTTGACATTCAAAAGTACTTTTTTAAAAGATTGGCCAAATACAATTTGCTTATTAAATTTTTAGAAAAGTACTTCTCAAACAAATTGGCCAAACACAAATTGCTAATTTTGAAAAGTATTTTTTAACAAAAAAACTTTTCAAAATAAGTAGTTTTTGGCAGCTTGGCCAAACGGGCTCTAAGCAAATTCTAAAATGAAAGAAATGCTATTTATTCCTAGAAAATAATTAGAAGCATCTTCTTGGGAAACAAAAAAATAAACCAGAATGTTGTTTTCCAAAAGCGTTTCTTCCAATAAACATATAAACCAATTTTTCCAAAACCAAATCCCAACACACATTACAAAACAAAAAACAAAATCAAAGTGTTTTTTTTTAATCCAAACACCATTTTCTTGTTTGCCCAAACACAGAAAATATAAGATACTCCCTCCGGTCCATAATAAGTGACCAATTTGCTTTTGGTACGCCCATTAAGAAAATTTTTTTTTTCATAAAGCACTGTCTTTTAGTGGTAATTGGCTATCTATACATATCATTTGCTATATTACGGATTGTAGATACGTTTTATGTTGTTATTAAGATGTATTAGATATATTTAAGCTACTGTATTCATGAATACAGTAGCAAAAATAAGCGTGAATTAGGAAAGTCCAGCTAATCAGTTGTTGTATTCGACTGTATTCATGGCGTGAAACATGGGATTACAGCTGGACAGATTATTGTATTCGACTGTATTCACGGTGTGAAACAGGGGATTACACTGTTTTTAAACGGAAAGTGAATCAATTAACATAATAAGCTCCTAATATAACTCAACAAACTCAATTATAATACACAAAATTGTATTTCCAGTTATAACAAAGATTCTCAACCGAAAACTACCCCAAAAATATAGCAATCTTCAGAGAAATTATATAATACATCTGAATACATAAATTATTTTAATTAAAAAAAATATATGAATACATTCATGACATATAGCGAGATAGTGAATACAATGAAATACATAGAATACAGCGGGATACATTAAAATACAATGGAAAAAAGACAGTGAGTACAATGAAATACAGCGAAATACATTGAATTACAATGAAAAAAAGACAATGAATACAATGAAATACACTAAAATACAACGTGATACGTTGAAAAAACATTGAAATATATTAACAGAAAATCAAGTTGCTCAGTCCCAAACTCCGTCGTCTTTGTTCAAGAACAAACCCTAATTTCCGGCGAATCTGCCGTCGAGCAAAAATCCTGAATCTCACTGTTCCCATGCATCCTGTACAGTAGGCGAGCAAAAATCATGGCAAGACATTAATGAGTTCTGGTGGCAGAATAAGGACTTTGTTAAAGCTTGAATCTTGTATTGAAGATGACGGAAGTTGAGAAAGATTCGTGGGTTTGTTGTGTTGTGCGCGCCGATCGGAGGCTTCATCTCCGTTGGATTCAATTTCGGTTGCAGAAATTACTAACACTGCTTTTGAGTTCTCGTCTATGATGGTCAAGTGCGACCCACGTCATGGGAAGTACATGGCCTGTTGTTTGATGTACAGAGGTGATGTTGTGCCTAAGGATGTGAATGCTGTTGTTGCCAGAATTTAGACAAAGAGAAAGTCAAAGAAGTCTTCGCAGTATACCAGGCAAAATCACCGTTTGTAACTAGTGGTAGGTGATGTGTGTGAGCACGTTGATTTTTTGCCTACGCTTAAATTACTCCTATAAATTCCTTAGAATTTAGGATTTTTCTTTATTATTTGAATTAACTGCATGATTTTGTGCCTTGTTTGCATTTTTGTGTGCATTTTAGTTGCCATAATTCATAAAAAAATACAAAAATAGTGCATTTGCATTTAGAATTCGATTTTATATTTTTAGTTTCACTAGTTAATTAATATTACTAAAATAAGAGAAAAATAACGAAAAATAGTCCTTTTACAATTTTTAATTTTACATTTTTACATTTTTTGTTTAGTTTTCTTTTAACTTAGGATTTAGTTTATTTTTAGAAAATTAATCAGTCTAAATTTTGGAGTTAAAGTAGGTTTGTTATTTTTAATTTTCAAAGAAATACATAAAACAAATAAATAAAAAGGGAAAACCAAACAATGAAAAAGAA